TTTCCGCGCTCTTCCGGCGCGCTCGGCCTCCCTTCGCGCGCCCCTCCTGCCACTGCCTCCGGCCGCTGCCGGGGCTGCCGGGGTCCCGGGTTTCTGGGTCGCTGTCTGGGTCCAGGCCTTAGTCCACCTCGGTCTCTCTCTGGAGCTCGCCCTGGGACAGTGTCTCTGTCTCCTGTCTCTTTCGGCCTATCTGCTTCATCTGGGCCGGGGTCTGGACCTCCGCCTTGTCTCGGATGTGTCAGTGACTGGCAACAGTCTCTTTTCAGCTCCGAAGAGTGGCCCCAGAAGGCATTTGTAAAAGGAGCTGGGCACCTGTATGTCTGTTGTATTAATATTTTTCACTCAGCCGATATCCATGGAGTGCTCCCGTGTGCCAAGTATTCTCCGCCATCGGGGTGTATTAGGTCTGGGCGCTCCAGAAGCTTACATTAAGGTGGGGGGGACAGAAAATAATTAAAGCAGAAAATGATACAAGATAGTTTCAGATGGTTACGTGGCTGTGGGAAGAAAGCAAAAAACCAGTCGTGGGGGTGACTTGAGAGTGAAGTGCTTTACTCTGGGTGGTCAGAGGCGACCTCTAAAAGAAGGTGATTTTTGAACCCAGGGCAGGCAGGAACAGCAAGTATGAAGACTCTGAGGTAGGAAAGTGCTCTGCTTGTGGGAGCTGGAGAAAGGGGGCCCGACTAGCTGGGATGGAGAGTTTAGAGAGCGCAGAGATCCGAGGAGAAAGTTAGGCGTGGCCCACCCCACAGGGCCTTGAAGGCTTTGTGAGGAGTTTGAGTTTTAGTCTAAGGGTGTTGGGAAGCCAGTAGAGAATTTTCATCGGGAGAAGTATATTCTCTGACTTAGGTTTTAAAAGATCATTTTGGAGCCGGGCTCGGTGGCTCAGCCTGGAATCCCAGCACTTTGGGAGGCTGAGGTGAGTGGATTGCCTGAGCCCGAGGGTTCGAGACCCTCCTGAGCAGCAAGACCTCATCTCTACAATAAATCAAAAAATCAGCCGGGTGTGGTCGCGGGCGCCTGTAATTCCGGCTACTTGGAAGGCTGAGGCAGAAGGATCACCGGAGCCCAGCGGGTCGAGGCTGCGGTGGCTGGGAGCGGCCACTGCACTCCGGTCTGGGCGACAGAGTGAGACTCCAACTCAAAAATAAGTAAATGATCATTTTGGTCACTGAGCCTGGTAGCTCATGCCTGTAATCCCAGCGGCCGAGGAAGTTGAGGCAGGAAAGGATTACTTGAAGCCAGGAGTCTGAGACTTGCCTGGGCAATATAGTGAGACCTAGTCTGCAATCCCAGTTACTCAGGAGGCTGAGGCGGGAGTATAGTTTGAGCCCAGGAATTCAAGGCTGCAGTGAGCCATGTTCATGCCACTGCACTCCAGCCTAGGTAGCAGAGTGAGACCCTGACTCTATAAAAAGGGGGGGGGGGGGAACATCACATTGGCTGCTGTGTGGAGAATGGAAGCAGAGAGTTCATTTGGGAAGCAGGAGCAGCCTTCTGGGCAGGACATCATGACGGTGGCCTGTACCAAGGAGATGGCAGTGGAGAGAGAACAGGAGTGAACTGCTTCTAGGTCTTTGACTTAAGTACAATCATGCGTCGCTTAACATGAGGTTCTGTTCTCTGAATGTGTCACTATGTGATTTTGTCCTGCAAACATCACAGAGTGTATTAACACAAACCTAGATGGTGTAGCCTACTACACCTAGGCTACTAACCTGTGCAGCATGTTACTGTACCAAATATAGTAGGCATTTGTGACACAAAGTGTTTGTGTATCTAAACATAGAAAAGGTAATGCATCGCGATAATGTTACAGCAGCTATGTCCTCACTAGGCAGTAGGAATTTTTCAGTTCCATTGTAATCTGATGGATCCAACTTGGTAAACGTGGTCCATCATTGACTGTAAGTCATTATTCGGCACATGGCTGTAACTGCGTAGAAGGCAGAACCTTTTACTGAGATGGAAAACACTGTAGGATGTGGGGAGAGGTAGCCAGCATTATACTTTAGCCACGCATGTGGGGTGACATTCTCCCTTAGACTTCCTAGTGGAGGTTACACTTAGACTGGGAGCATACAAGTCTGGAGATCAGAACTGGAGGGTAAATATGGAGGAGTGAATGGGAGAAAGATGGCTTTTAGTGCTATGAAAATGGAGTACCTCGGGAGAGAGTGTGAAGAGAAAGGGCTGAGCGTGGATAACTGGGGCACCCAACACTTAAAGATCAGTTGAGGAGGAAGAATTGGCAAAGGAGTCCAGCGTGGTCAGAGAGGTAGCAGGAAAACCAGGGGGGTGAGGTGTTCTGGAAACCAAGAAAACAATGTATAAAGAAGGAGATTTCGTGATCTATTGCCCAGCATGGTGCCCTCAGGTGGTAATAATGTAGCTTCAAGTACGTCAAGTATTTTGAAATAGCTAAAGAAAAGGAGTAGATTTCAAATGTTCTCACCCCACAAAAAAGGCAGGTAAGGTCATGGGTATGTTAATTAGCTTGATGTAATTATTCCACAATGTACTTATATACATATTAAAACAGCACATTGAGCCGGGCTCCGTGGCTCAGCCTGTAATCCCGCGCCTTTGGGAGGCTGAGGTGAGTG